GAGAGAGAGAGAGAGGGGCTATCAGTTTTATTTTACAAATTGCTTTAATTCTCGAAATAATTTTATCTACCAAATATCTTGCATGCATAATTATCATTCCGCTATGTTATATGTATAAAAATATTAGATACCAAATATTTCTTTAACAAACACTGTAAGGAAAATTAATGTGAAATAAAATAAAGTTACTCTGATGTCGAAGAATAGATAGTTACTAAAATATTTGACATTAAAAATTACAAGATTAAAGTAAATTAAACATTTTATAATGTAAGCAAATAAATCTTGTTTTTTAGTTAATTTTAACTGAATTTTGTTTTAATAACAATTTTTTAAGTGACATTTAAATGACATTATCAGGATATTTTTAAAGCTCTGTTACATAAAAATTAAAAAAAAAAACAATTTTCGCAATCTATTGTAGATAATAATCAAAAAGATTTTAAATATGTGTACATAAATATTATCGAAAAATATTGCAATTATTTCGAATTCTTATATTAAATTATGTAATAGGCTTGTAGCGTATGTGATTCAATATAATTCACAATGACTTCGCTAAAGCAAATCTAGTAGAGAGTTGATTTATGAACACATTAACTATACTCAGGGCGCTATCATTAGTTGATTGATCGCTAGTAATTAGACTGTAAAGTAGCCATGAGTTCTAATTACTTGGAAATCTAACGGAATTCCCACGCTAACAGCTGAATATTCTTGACAGTTGAATATTCTTGAAATTTAGCGTCGAAAAATTGATTCATGGGCAAAGTTAAATTACGATCCCATTATTTATTAAAATAGTTAAAGAATTTATTACAGAATTTTATTAAAGAATTAGTTTTTTATTAAAGAATTGGTTAAAGAATTTTCGAAAATTTATTTACTCATAATAGATCAATTTTGATGTAATGTATTTGCGTTAAATCCTATTATCATTCTAGCATTACATTGTTTTGTCGAAAAATAATTTGGAGCTTTATCATAATATAAATAACATAACAGAAATATTTAATTCAGGTATTGTGCTAAATTTAAAATAATTTTTTTATCACTAATAAAATTATCATTAATATTTAATATAAAATATAACATAAAATATAATAAATTATATTATTATATAATTATAATAATAAATTATTATAATAAATATATTTTGTTGTATTTTATATTACTAGCAAGAGTACATTTCATGCTTCATTAACTAATAAAGATTATGCTTTTCACAGTACAATGTTTCTGGTATTGCGTAGTTGAATTACACTCGGTGTCCAAATATTATACAAACCATGTTTTCTTTACAATGCTCGTTCTCAATGTTTGCATATGCAAATGTTTACATCACCATAAATAATGGATCGGAGTAGAGCACACAATTATTTGAAATTTCACGCAATTACGCTTGGCGTACCCCCGATTTGTTATGTTAATTGAATTCCTTGAGAGAAACTGGGACGTTAAATTTTATCGAATACCCGGGCATCTCGCGCATCAGATCGATAGCCCGCACAAGCAATTTTGTTCTTATTTCTGACTGCTGTGAAAGTGCATTTATCAGGAGCCCGTTTATCGGGAGAATAAAGTAAAATTTTGAAAGAGATTCTCAGTTTGGTACATTTATGATGTCAGAATTCATTCATGCTGTAAGTTATAACATGCGCGGAGCGTGAAAAAAGTATTTGCACACCTCTTCTATCTTGTTTGATACAATTTTATATGATG